GTATCATAAGGTCATTTTTATGTCAGAATTCAGCTTAAAGCTGGACCACATTTTCTCTGCTTACGTATCACAAAATAAATAAAATCAATACTGTTAAAGAGAAAAATCTAAGTAATGTAAATCAATTATCCTCTATTTTTCCTTCAGTGAACTAAAAACAATCTTTGTTCCTTCCCCCATCACAAGGAGTTTGTGGCCATGAGAGGTTAAAAATAATCAAAATGGGGATAAAACTACTTCCCCTGGAGGGCTTCTATGAGATTAGAGATATTGTAATGGGCACAAAGAAGGTGTACAATAAATCATAATAATAATTATTTATCATCATAATTAGCAGATGTTATTACAGAAGGGTCAAAGCACAGGATTTATGGTCAGAAAGAATGGCTCCATCGAGTACCATGGCAGGAAATAATAGACAATGTTGTAAAGGGAAGAACGTCAAGACCCTTGTGAATCAAACTAATACTGCATGATTCTGTGATAACATCCAACTGTGGGCCTTGAGGGGGATGTGACAGAAAGGGATGGGAGGATCTTTCAATTCAGAGGGAGAAACAGCTGTCCAGTGGATGGCTCAAAAGTGGTCAGGCCATAACCCTTTTCTCCTCCTCCCAAATATTCTAGAGGGAGGCTACCCTTCAGGGGGAGGGGAAAAAGTACATACTTGCTCTCTCCAACTGATTATCCATTATGTAATCAAAATCTCTTTCTAAAACACAATTCTGATCAATGCATTCATTTACTTAAAATAATTCAGTGACTCACCATTACTGTGGAATAAAACTTGCAGCACGGTTTCCCCAGGCCCAGAGCCTCTCTGTCTTGTAAATCTGGCTATACTTTCAGATCCACTAGCACACTGTACTCTCCTCTCTCCATACGTCGCACAGGTTATTATCATTGTTGGTGATGGCCCTATCTCCATCTTCACTTACCTGCCCTTGTACAGGCGTCACCTTGTACATCCCACTTCCTTCTCCAGGTAGCCTTAATACTGGGTGAGATGCCTTTTCTATGGAGTACCATTGTACTTTGTACTTCCATATGTGAATAAGCCACTCTGTATTGCACTTGGCTGTCTACCTGTTTGTTTTCTTTACTATACTATGGACATCTTACTTGTTCACCTTTGCAACTCCAGTGCTTAACACAGGTGCTCAAAAAACAAATAATCTGCTGAATGAATGAATGTATGAAGGAATGAGGGGATGCCTGAGAGACCGAGGTTGAAGCCTGGTAGAGCAGGTGAAGGAAGAGCTCTTCCCATTACAAGGCAGAACGCCCAGGCTTCCTAAATGGGAAGGGGTCCAAGAGACAATAGCATAATTCTTCCCACTCTTTCTGGTTCTTACCCTTTATTGTCAGGGATACTAAGCTGGATGAACTATGGAGTACGATTCAATGTAACAAAGCAGCCTTATATTAAAAAAAACCTTTCAGGTTTATTTTTATGGGTGACGAGGCAGAACTGTGCTTTCCGTCCTTGTATTTCTCCTAGGAGCAATGGTTCAGTATTTACTAACCCAGTGTCCACACCAACTTTATAGAACATAACTACCATGAATAATGAGAATCAACTGGATGTTAATCTAAAAATCGGAAGAGGGTGACTGGCCTCTTCCTTTTCCCGCCCTGTTGTACAGGTCTCCACAAGAGGGTCTACAATGGCTTAGGCAGAAAGAGACTTGGGTTTAAATCTCAGGCCTGCCACTTACTCACGTGTGACCTTGTTCAAGACACTAAACCCTCGCTGTCTCATTTTCTCACCTGCAAAATGGGTACAATACCTTTTAAAATCTGACCCGTTTCACAGGATCATACACAGAATCACATAGATCCTGTATGTGAAGGAAACTTTTACATGCTCAAGTGCTTTGCAAACATAAAGTACATTATCCCTTTATATTATAATTTCAAACAAAATTAGGGTGCTTCACAGGGAAATGTATGTAACACAATAAAGACCTCATGGTTAAAGGCTAACGGCTTTCCTATATTCCAGATTTCATTGAAAAAAGCCAAGAACACAGAGACAAAAATCAAGCTGATGTTAAATTATAAAGTTACAAATGACAAATAAAGCACAAAGGGATTGATTGAACAAATTTGAGGATAAGTAAGTAAATAATAATGACGCTCCCTTTCCCTGATCCTCACTATCACCCCTCTGGCTTAGCCAACTAGATTTCCTAAGCACTGAACTAGCCAAAGGGGTTGTGAGATGAATTCTCAGGAGCCTACAGGCATGTCCAAATGTATCTAAAACTGCAACAGAAGGGAAAGTGGCCAAGTTCACGTTTGCTGTCATCCTTCCTTTCAACTGCTTGAGACACCACAGCAAAAAGGTCTTACATCCCAGACCCTCAGCTTTCTAGGAGCTCTTTCTAGGAGCTCTTACATCCCAGACCCTCAGCTTTCTAGGAGCTCTAGGAGCAGCTTTCTACATCCCAGACCCTCAGCTTTCTAGGAGCTTTCTAGGAGCTTTCTAGGAGCTCCTTTCTAGGAGCTCTTACATCCCAGACCCTCAGCTTTCCTTCCTTTCAACTGCTTGAGACACCACAGCAAAAAGGTCTTACATCCCAGACCCTCAGCTTTCTAGGAGCTCTGCTTAATGACCTGAATCTCTGGAGAGTCCCTCATCCTGGTATCCCTCTAAATGCACTTTAGGAAAAACTGGGGAAACAAAAATTACTTGCCATTTAAGGGAATTCCTCACTTTTTTTCCTTCACAGGCTGGACACCAGTTTATGAGCAAAGGTGGGAGAGACTATTGTGAAAGACTTTTCTAAGCCCTGTATTTCTAACTCAGAATCCCCAAAGAGCATCAGATGAAAACAGTGAGACTTATAGACCAACCACCTCTGCCAGATAAAGTTACAGTGAAGTATCAAACATTATCAGGAACTCCAATAAATCTTTATCTAATCAATCAAGGTCTTCTCTCCTAAGGAGGCAAAAGAAAACCAAGATACCGTTAGGTGAAATACCAGGTCAAATGTGTACAGCCTTCTGCTTCGCCTTATTTCTAAGATATCTCTAAATCATTTGAAAAGATGTTTAAATACCTGAAACATATTTGTTGTCTTAGTGAAATGGCAGGTGGGGTGGGGTGCAAAACAACCAGGACCTTTGATCCTGATAATTTCCTTTCTGCACTGAAACAGAAGAGGTCAACCTGAAAAGGCTGGTGCATGTCCTGCTCTTGACAACGGTTTTCGTTCCCAGGCCCTCCCACAGGTATGCTTATGCCAGGCAATGACTCTGCCTCACTTAGGCCATTCCTCATTCCTACAAATGAGGCCAGAGAACAGTGGTCTGCAATATCCCAGAGGCAGGAGTGAAGTAAGATTCTGACGTTCCTTAAGAACAGTCTTCTCCATCCTTCTGAGTCTGCTGAACGTGGGAAACTTCTGGACGGCAGGGAAGAGTCCCTATAGCCAGAAACACATTTTCTAAAGACTAACATTCCACGTGTCACCATCATTCACGGAGGTAATTTTAAAATAGTCCTTTGAAGCCTCATCTCTGTCCCTTCTCCCGTCTCACTGTGACTTCTTCTCTTCTTGCTAAATGAGGCATCGCAATGGCCACATGGTTGGTGCTGGTCTCTGTATTGTCTCCTCACTACGCAAGGCAGAGAACCCGGCAGCACAGGCATCACCTGGCAGCTTGTTAGGAATACAGAATCTCAGGCCCTGTCCTAGACCTGCACTTGAAGAAGATTCCAGGTGACACATATGCACATTCAAGTTTGAGAAGCACTGCTCTAAGCCAGCTACAGTATCAGCCAATCATCCCCTTGTCTGGTAAACCAATCCTCCTGAGCCTAGGAAGGCCTGAACTGGGCACTCCAGAGCCCCCAGCATCACTTTCCACTCTTCCTAGTGTGTACATGGAAAGCAGGCTGTTTTCCAGAGAACACGGGTAGAGTACCTGGCACGTGACTCAGCAGCATCCAGAAGCCTCTCAAAGACATGTATTTTCTTTCTTTATATGTATTCACCACTGCCAATATCATCCTATCTCTTCCAGTTGGTCCCTTTCCTGTCGTGATATCTCTTCTACCCAGTATCTAAAATGGATCTTCTAGTGAAGTGATTCACCAGGCTCTAACGTCAAAGTTTCAGCTCTACAATTTATTTGCTGGGTGAATCAGGAAAACTCACCTTTCTAGGCCTCAGTTTTCTCCTCTGTCAATGAAGATGTTAATAATAACAGTGCCTTCCCCTTGGGGCTGCTGTGAAAGCATTTCATTTGACCTTAGCTACAGCTCGTATTCATGCTCAGACCGAGACCTTTCCCCCAACGTAGTTTGGATACTTTCCCTCTCCTTTAAAGGGCTACAGCACTGACAGGCCAAGCCACATGACTTAGCACCTAACTGTAACTCTCCTGTAGAGATCTTTGTTTTGTGTTACTGGTTTTGTCTCCAAACCTGGATCTTAAAACAAAGTGTCAGGATGGTGGTTGTTTTTACAGGCTGTGAAAGTAACTTATAGGAAATACAGAAAATATAGAAAAATATGAAAAAGAAATAATAAATAATCCATAATCTCACCACTAAGAAAAAACAACTGTTAACATTTTAGAGGATTTCCTTCCAAACAAGATCTTAGTTTCAGGAGAGCAAGGGCCAAGTCTTAATCTTCTCAGAATCCTCCCTGGCTTCCCCACACCTAGCGCCTCTCCACACTCCCAGCACCTAACCTACCACAGTGCTAAGCACTTTGCAGCTGAAAAACACAGGCCTGTTCCTTAGCTGAGAGACGTACCGATGTGGCTTGCCCCCACACCTGTGTGTGGACTGTCTGCATACTGAAATAAGGACACTGTCAGAATTAGTGACATAATCTGTTTAGTTCTTTGTTCGGTTCAAGCTGCTGTAAAAGTGTGCTCAGATCTGTACTCCATGTGACTGCTGTTTGTGTTTGGTAGTGAAAGTGTGTTTCTGGTGAAGCCTCATGTTTCCCTTTTCAACATACTCAGATTACACATACCTACAGGAATGGTCATCCCGTGAATTTTATCAGCCCAGCCTGCGTAATACCGAAGGGTTTTGATGACTCCTTGCAAATCGACGTAAAAAGCTTGCATGAACGGTTTGCCACCATTTAGGGATTCCATGGTCTGTAGGAAAAGAAATGGAGAGAACTTTCCAATGATACACTAAGTAACTTCTACAGCAGAAGAAAACAGGAATAGAGAGAATACAAATGAATCTGAACAATGATGCATACCTGGTCAACTCTGATTTCCCAAATGAAAAGATTTTTAGGACCATCTGTTTAGTTTAGTTTCCAGTAAAAACCACAATGAACTTATATGTGTGTGTTCTTGTGCCTGTGTGTTTCCAGTAACCACTATCCCAATATATAAACACAACTGGTGATAAAGAAGTGTTCTGCTTGTCAAACCAGCTTCTGTTGTATTAATGATCAGAGCTGCGTGGGGATTTTTCGGAGTCTACACCAGTATTCTGAATCCAAAATGAGGGGCAGGGACATGGGCTTTTATGCAGTTGATGAGACTATAAAACGTTCTCCACACTGCCAAGACCCCTGCTGAGAAATGGAATAGCCATGGTGTACAGCGAGTTTATTTATTACCACCAAGTAAACAAGATCTCCTCTAGGGAAACTCATACTATAACAACTTGAGGGCTGTTTTTTCATAAATATTTACATTAATAACCATTATCTATTAAGACAGAAGTATCTGGTCCATTTAATAAAAATAGAGTTATTAAGCAGTTTTAGATGATAAATGTTATTATTTTAATGACACATTCCTAAATAGGGTAAATCTGTAACATAAAGAATTACAAATGAACACAATGAAATGAGAAGAGTATTTCGACCTAAGAAATAGTAAAGGTGTTACATATTTAACAAATAAAATAAAAAAAACATGTTTGTAATCTCATGTCCTTCTCTTCAAGGACATTTTACAACACATACTGGTACAAAAATTATTTGAGTGCTGACAAAACTAAAATTGAAATATTTTCCATTGAATGACATGAAAATATTATTTACAGTGCAATTTTTCCACTTACCATGTGTATAAGATGGAACTCATTTTAAAATATCATGTGACCTATTCAGTGTATATTGGCTCACCTTTATTAAAGGAAATCAAGTTATTCCCAGTTCTTGTTAGAATATTTATACGTCTGTGAGATGAGCATTACATTCTCCACACAGCAGGCAGAGAGCCAAGGTCCTGACAGCATAGACTGAAGTAGAGTCAATAACCAGAATTGGGCCACCTAAATGGTCCATCCCTATGAGCTGTTGACACCAGCTAAACTTACCTGAGAGTTGCCAGCCCTAAGTTTATTTTCAATTGTGTATACCTGGGTGCAGTATTAACTTCAGTATTCCGGTCAGGAGCTCCCCCTATATTCGAGAGGCTACCTCTTAACAAAAGTCACTCCCCTCATGGCTTGGGAGTGTTTAAAAGTAGAAATCACATTTAAGTGTGATGGGAAAAAGGACTTGACCACAGTGAGACATATGTCAGAAACAGGATGGCATATGAATTTTATGACATGAAAATATAACAGCAGAAATTAACTATATCATCATCTAGTAAGTACTGCTAATCTAATGTTATAAATATTGTATGGATTTAACTCAATTAAACAGATACTTACAGACCACCAATGTGCCCCCATTCACCGTTTATGTGTCACAAACTATGCTAGGATTACAAAAAATGGAGTAAAGTATAATTTTCACTCTCAAAGAAATCATAATCCAGCAAAGAGGCAGCATATAGACCAGCATTCCCCCAAGGTACTCCAAAGAATTCTGTTTTGTACGATATTGACAGGTTAGCCAGAAAAATAGTGTTGAGGCTCCGACAGGTGTGAGAAACACTGAGTAGGGCTTGTCAGAATCTTTAATATGCTAAGTGTCTTATGAATTTCCATGGAACACCTTTTCCCAATATATATAAACACCTCATTGGAAACAGTATTCCTTGAAGTACCAAACTAGAAAATATTTTTATAGATAAATAAATGTTATATATAGCAAGAGTTCTAAACCATCTCCATAAAGGATTCATTTTTGTTTCCACACTATGAACAGACGCATGAAAGGGATGGTAGGAAGGAGAGCCATGGTAGAAACGACACTGAGGAAGAGTACTAATGCTTCCCTCTCCCAAAGCGAACCCAATAGTGATCTGATTTCCCAAGCAGAGGGTAGAATATAGTATTCATGGCTTTAATGCCCTGACTCAACGAGGATGCCCTAAATATTAAATGATCAACTATGGGTCATGCAGGTGGAGATCCCTGCAAGACAGGTATACTGCACAGGCATTCCTAAATGGTTCCAATTTCCAAAAAAGTTGGTATTCTCTAAGAAACTGACTTTTATTTTTAAAATAGCAACAACAATAAACCACTAGGAGAGGGGACATTCCTTATGTGAGAAAATGATTGTTTTAGTGAAAGAAAGTTGCTGTCTCCTTCTGTCTCTCCTATTAGTTCTAAAAGAACAAAGGGAGCAGGAGGATATGAGAGGTCCATATCATGCTCTCTGCTTCTCAAGGATTCTCTTTAGCCAAGAGCGGCTAACTCTGGAGAGGTAAAACTCTTTTGACTGCCAACAGTAATTTGGTATTGGTTTCCTGCAAGGAGCATGGTGACTCTCCTGTTGCTTGACTGTTTTTGTTCTTTTTGTTGAGGGTGGGAGGAAGGGGGACGAGGAAAGCAGGAAGGTCCTTACCAGTCATTGGGAAGCTATGGTTTTGTTCTTCAAAATTCAATAAGAAGAGACACTCAGCTGGTCCTCCACTTCCCCATCTGATCCCAAAAGCCAAACCTCTCCCATTTTTCATGTGTATTACGTACTCCTTAGCTTGTTCCCCAGGTCTGCTTCACATCATACTTTCAGAAAGACTGAGGAATCTAAATTTCAATGGAATGGTAAATTTGGGGTAAAGACGTGATGCTTTCTTAGGTCACTTACTGCAAGGACTGCCCTGTCTCGTTCCACCAAGTCTGCAAGCTTATCCAACAGACGTCCTCTTTCTGAAGCATCCATCCTTCTCCACACTGAGCCAAGAGAGAAAGCCAGGCGGGCTGCCTGCACTGCTTTGTCTATATCTGCCTGTTAGAGAGGAAGAGGCACAAGTGAAGAGAGGGATCGCTACAAATAAAGGAAGAACCATCTGCTTTCACAAAAAAGGTGATGAATGAACGTCAGTGGTGATGTCTGGAGAGCATAAGTTTATTGCTTTGTTGTCTGAAGGTAGTTATTTCATACGAAATTTTTTTCTAAGACAAACATACCTTGTCTGCTTCTTGAACTTCACACACCTGTTCTCCTGTGGCTGGATTATAGACAGGGAACACTCTCCCACTCTCCGAGTTCTGCCACTCGTTGTTAATAAAAATCTAAGGGAGTAGACAACAGAATGGGATCCATGAGACAGGTGACAGGAAGTCAGTCAATGGTGCCGTATTATATGGAAGTACCATAGTAGTAATACTGGCTCTGTATGCTTGCTGCTATATAATTAAAGTATAGAATTTGAAGTGTTACAAGAAACCCTAGACCATTATGCAGTCCAGCCTCACCCCCAATTCAGAAATTTCCTTTGTGATATTTTTAACTCAACATCAGCCAAAGATTAAATATAATTCTTACCTTTAGTGAACCTGTCAACTACTCAGAGAGTCAAACAAGGAAGGAAGGATAGACCGTCTCACATACCTACAAACCACACACTGAGATTGAGAAAGTATTTATTATAATCCAAGCTCTGGCCAATATCCCAAAAGGGTAGATCGTGGATCAAACTGACAGTCATCTGGCCTTAGCTACTAGTTTCTCTGTCAGAGAAATGAGTGACTTCACAGGGAAATCTGAAGGGTGCTGGAATAAGCATTTGCCTAATTTATAGTCAGATCCTGAACTGAGCAATGACTTTGACCAAACCAACTGGTGAGTTAAACAACTTACATGTGTAAATCCAAGTTAGATTTCTTTCCTTTTGCTGGGTAGGCTATGTGGCTCAGCAAAGGTAAAAGGCCTATAACTTTCAAATGGGTCTCTCTAGGATTTCTTAAGAGCCTTGGTTTCTTTATATAGAAAATAAAGATTATATTAAAATGGCAAAGAAATGGTTTAAGAAATTATTCAAGTCAATTTCTCAGAAGATTTGTAAGATATGCATTAACAAAGGAGGGAAAATATAGGCAAAAACATTAAAAAAATTTTATTGATATTAAGAGAGAAATCCAAACTAATATTTTTGGACTATGAAAGCCCAAAGAATACACAAAGATATTTTACTCTATAAAATTTATGGGGCTTCCCTGGTGGCGCAGTGGTTGAGAGTCCGCCTGCCAATGCAGGGGACACGGGTTCGTGCCCCGGTCCGGGAAGATCCCACATGCTGCGGAGCGGCTGGGCCCGGGAGCCATGGCCACTGAGCCTGCGCGTCCGGAGCCTGTGCTCCGCAACGGGAGAAGCCACAACAGTGAGAGGCCCGCCTACTGCAAAAAAAATAATAATAATAAAATAAAAAAATTATGGCACAACAGTGAAAATTTCTGAACCTATGAACCATTCAGTAGTCAGTCAGTTTAGAACAAACACAATGATAAACTGATTTGCTACTGCCTGGCATTTTAATAATCACAGACGAGGCTGAGTGTAGATCTACAATTTTAAAAATTAAGTTCTAGATTATGCCAAAGCTTTGCTTATTCCTTGATTTGATAAAACAATGAGTCTGTGTTGAAGGAGTCTTCTTTTCCTGAAGGCTTTTTAAGATAAAGGCGGGGTGGGGGGGGGAAGACCTTAAACCTGTAAAAGCACTTAATACAAATGTATTGAGCACAAACACAGTGACCTTGTAATTGAGTAACAATTTTTTAAAGTTTTTACTATGAATGTCTAAACATGCTTAACATACTGTATTCATTTGTATAATGTATTCAATAAATGCATAGATATTTCTAGACACAGGAGAGGCAAAGATGATTAAGAGTTCCAGCCTTCAAGGGTCAACAGTCTCTAGTAGTTCATTAAATACTCACAACAACCCTAATGGCAGGATTTTATTATCTCAACTGAAGATGAAAAAATTGAGAGGTTAAAAGTCCGAAGAAGCAGGTTCTCATCGTGGCTCTGATTCAAAGTCTGCTGCTCTTTCCACTACACCGTGGTTTCCAGGACTGCTCAGCCCAAAGAAACACAACTAGTTATGTCCAAGCCTAAATTAGATCTATAGTTCTTGGACTCCTGATCTAGTTCTCTTTTCACTCCATTTAACAAATTTCCTATCATTTCACAGCTCATCAAATCTGCACACTCCTTTGAAATACAATATGATCTCAAAGGTAGCAAAAGAAAAAAATTAAGAGGTTAGTTTCATTAAAGATTCACTTCTAGAGATTATCAGGTTTAAAGGAGAATGGGTCTTGCCAATATTCCTTATTCCTTTTATTCACTATTTGACTGAAACTTCTTAACCCTTGGAACATCATCAGATCCAATTATAGTTTTAAGCTTCTTTGTTGAACAGTTCTAAATGTATGTAAGGATTGATATTTCATGACTTTTATTGTTTCTTAGAGGTCTTCCAAACATCAAAGAGAAAAATTACTTATTATTTCATAGAATAAAATTCATTCTCTTACTGTTATCATTTAAGTACACTGATCATTTTATCAATCTAAAATACCTTATGGGATCTTAGTGAGCTTTTCCTGTGTCTTGAAACATATTGCTAATTTCATCATTCTCGGAATTATTTCATCACTCATCAATTATTTCCAACTATGCTTAAAAAAACCCTAAAATAATAAGGAAACAAAAACATTATGGAACTGTCTAGAAATGAATAAACACATCCCCACTATTTCATCATCCTTTGGTTTTATTATTGTACTATCCAAAGTAATGCATTATGTCTCAAAAGGGTATAAATAAAGAAGTGTGGAGACACCATCTTTGTCATATTCTTTTTACCTTTCACTGAACACAGTTAAGAATTCAGAATTTTTCATTTCTGTCCATAATGAGAAAGAGAAGAGAACTAATAGAAAAAGACATTTCATAACCGTTAGATGAGTCAGAAGCTGAAGGCAAAGAGACAGAAACACTAGAGACTGCTGATGAGGGTGAAATTGACTGTATAAGCAAAATCTTGGACTATGAGTCTTTAGGATAAATAAATGCATTTTCTCCAAATTAATAATCAGAGAGCAAACAAGATACTTATCAACACAAAAAGGAAATATGACAGTCTAATCCAACTAGTCATTAATAGGAAGGACTTAATAATTTAAAACCATCCTGTTTTGATAAGAGAACATGTAAGAATTCTTTTATCTTTCATGATATTTGTGGGTAAAAATTTACTTGATGTGATTCAAAAATGGACAAATGCTGAAGGTAGGTGTATACACCAAGGTGACTGGAGTACAGATATTATGTAGAAATAAAGTTCATTGGATTGATCAATCTAATTTACATTTATAAAACTAAAACTGAAAATGCTTTTGTAATTATGGAGCAAAAATGGCCATGCTCTCTTCTACAAAATTATGAGCCTTCAAACTTTTCAACAGTATTACATTATGATAATGCAAATGCAAGAAGAACCAGAAGTAACAGTAAGATATAACCTATAAGAGATGTGTTTAAAATCTGCAATCAGTATTTATGGCATAAATATTTCCAGTTTCAAACATGATGGCTAATGAGTAGTTAGTTGTATTCAAAGGCCATTGCTCACTTCATGTACATATACCTCCAATACCAGGAAAATATGGAAGAAAATTGGTTTTGTTATGTTTAAATTCTTGTTCTGTTGTTTTCACTGTCTCTTTACTTTCACTTTTCTAAATTTTTCATAAAATAACTTAATTTTAAAACTTTATAGCCTCCATTGGACCCAGATGGTAAATGTGATGACTATTTTTCCTGGTATGCCAAACATTAAAATATTTGATAGTTTTACTATACTATTATTTCTTATAGACCTAGCCTTATGACACTTAAAAAACAAAGGAAAGCAAATTCCTCCAAAATACTTGAAGGTTTTCATCTTCTCTGAGCAATTTCAAAAGTTTTGAATGCTGTCTAAAGTGTTCTTCTCTGACCAGGGCTCCTTAAAAAACAATATATCTCAGGGCTCTAGAGGGAAAGGACAAGATGATCCTGGAATACTATGGTGCCAGAAATTAAGTACATGCTCAGAAACTGATGGGACATATCAAAAGGACACAGGAGCCAACATGAAGGGGCTCCCAATGGCCAATACTGGGACAATTTAAGCAACAAAACAAATAGTGATAGTAATGGATTATTACCCAAAGAATAAAAAAGGCATCCAAGAGTCCAAAATGATATAAATTTTTTTATGAATAAATAAATGGGGGATAAGGAAAAGCTGTTCTTAACAGTAGAATTCAAACTAACAGCTGTCAAAGAATGATGGAATTAGATTACCACCAATGTGTCAAACCCCACAATTGTAATTGCTTCAGGCAAATATCATCAATGGATGGTAAAATTAGTGGGTAAAAGTATAATGAAAAATTGGATGTTTTTGTAGTCTCAAAGTATCTCCCCTCAAGATGCTTATTAATGACAAAGTAGAAAATAGTAACTTACCATTGGAGAAACTTGGCAGGCAGCACCTTAATCAAGTGATCAAAGTTAACATCACCAGTAATGGGAGAAATTGATCTTTCTTAACATTTCATCTGCTTGTCCTACTGATAATTAGAAAGCTGTGTTGAAATCTCCCACTTTGGTGGTAGATTTGTCAATAGATCCCTTAGCTCTATCATTTTTATACTTATAAATTTTAGGTTATTTTATTAGTGAATTTAAGTGGAACTATTAAGATTCTCTGATAAAACAAAACCATTTATCAATATGAAGTGACTCTCTTTATTACTAATGAAGCTTTGTGTCTTAAAGACTATTTTGTTTAATATTAGTAAAGCCACGTAAGCTTTTCTTTAGTATTTTCCTGATAGATCTTTTCCCATCATATTACTATCTCTCAATTACATCTTTATTATTTTCATGTGTCCCTTTAAATGATGTATGGCTATGTTTTATTTTATTCAATATGAAAATCTCTGTCTTTTAACTGGCAAGTTTAATACATTTGTATTTATTGTGATCATATTTTGTGTTAAATAATGTACCGTGTGATATTTGGACTTAATGCTTTTTATTTGTCTTGCTTTACTTTACTTCCTGTCTTCTCCCATCTTGCCTCTTTTTTCAACTTGATTAATGTTTGTTGTTTGTTTTATAATTTCCCTCTTTTATTGGTTTGGAAATTGTACATGATCTTTCATGTACATGAACATGTACATCTTTCAAGAACATGAATATCTTTCATATTCTTTCACTGATTATCCAT